TAGATCTCAGCCTCCTTAGTAGCTAGGATTACAGTTGTGAGCCACTGGTGCTTGGCTGAACCTAAGCTTTTATTTTATTTTATTTTTTTTTAAAGCAAAACAAACCAAAACCAAGATAACATAGGAGTCCTGTGCTCACCAATTTAAGTGGAAGTGACTTCCTCTGGAAAGTATTTCCATCTTATTCAGTACTTCTGAATTGCTTGCCATGAGATTAGAATACTCAGAAAGCAGGCATTACCTCCTCTTCTTACTTATTGTCATTTTTCAGATTTGCAAAGGGAAGAGCAAGGAATGATTGCCTGGGGACCTGGGATCCTTAAATCGCCAGAGATAGTGGCATCTTCCTCCACTGATGTTTGCATCTTTATGGGGACATCTGTGAGCCCCAAGTTGTGGTTCACTTCTTTTCCATTTTCACTGTTGCTATTATAGTTGGTAAAAATGTGTTGATGTATAAAAGCAAAAAAAATTACCTTTACCAAATGTTTATAAAGACAGAGGTCCTAGAAATCCTTAGAGTGTATTTAGTAATACAAAATTATAGGTATAATTCTAATAGACTGGCCTAGTCTCTATGTATTTTATCCTGGGATAGTCTAGCCTTTTCTGCCTTTGAAAGGAAAGACTGCTGGGCACTGTTATCTCACACCTATAATCCTAGCTACTCAAGAGGCTGAGATCTGAGAATCACAATTCAAAGCCAGCTCAGACAGGAAAGTCCATGAGACTCCTATCTCCAATTAACTACCTAAAACACAGAAGTGGATCTGTGGCTCAAAATGGCAGAGTGCTAGCCTTGAACACAAAAGCTCAGGGTTAGCGCCAGGCCCTGAGTTCAAGCTCCATAACCAACAAAAATAAATAAATAAATAAAGGACAGAAGGAAGGAAGGATTTGGTGTTTCAAGCTTTCAATTCCCAGATGATTACAATAAAAGAATAATGAAACAAAGAAAAAAATCCTGATAAGATAGCACCACTTAGCCAATAGATTTTCAAAGATGTTTATTGCTACACAGCTTTTTGCTGTTTATGTGTTAGGGCTAAACATTGAATGAGAAGGCATAATGTCCCCCAATGCATGTTGACAGATACAGACTGATACAGTTCCCATTTGTGTTATATTGGGCTGACTTAAACAAACTTTGGGGAAGAAAATTAATTATAAATAAACGATGACCTGGTATATTCCAATATATTATCAGTTGGTTGATTCTTTTTCAAACCAACAACATATTTTTATTTATTTAAATTATTTAATTTGTATTAAAAATATAATTGGCCAACACTTTATAAATTGGGAAGAATTTATGTATCTACCATCTTTTATTGCTTCCCCTGGAGGCTAAATCCTCCATTTTCTGCTCTCTAGACTCCCAGACTTCCCCAAGGGGGTGTTAATCTCTTGTTATTTCAGGTGATCCTTGGTTGTTATGTATAACAACTATAGTATGGACAGGCATTTACCCATGTCAGCACTGTTCTAGGTGCCGTTGATGTGCTATTAATTGCTCACAATTGTGAAATTTAGGCACAAAAGGATAATCTTCCCAGGGACACTGATAGTAAATGGAAGAACTTAGATTTGAACCTAAGGAGTCTAGGAGGAGCCAGAAGTTATTGCACAACACTTTTTAAGCCTGTATTTTGTTAATGGGATCTCTTTGGCCCTTCTCCCCTGATTTGCCTTTTTAGGTTACTTATACATTGATAGTCCAAGTTTTCATCCCCACCTCTATTCACTCATTTCATCGTGCATGCTTCCATCCATTCGTCATTCATCCTCTCTCTCTTGAATCCCAGATATTTTCTAGATCTAGAGCTCCACTTTGATCTCCCATAACTACCTCAAATGCAGTACATCACAAAATGGGACCCATCACTGTGCCACCAAGAAAGCAGCCCTGTAACCTCATTAGTGATTGTAACCCCATTTGCTTAAGTTAGATGCCAAGAGGTCATTTAAGTTGGCTGCTTCTGCCTCGTCTCCTTAACTGTCCAAGTCCTCTACTGCCTGAGCCCTGCCTTTTTCTAGTTCATTTCTTCCCCCAATCCTTTCTCAGGCCGCCTCATTCTCTCTTTTCACAAACACCCCAAGTTTCTTCTTACCTTCAAACGTGTCTTAGCTTCTGGTCTGCCTTAAATAATCTTCCTTTAGAGTAGATCTGTACATTACTAGGTCTTTTATGATATTCATGTCTCTGTAAATATCGCCTCCACAGAGAAGCCTTGCCTGATCACAGCATAACGTGAGTCACTTGCTGTCACCTTGATTTAGTCACTCCAAGTGATGTAAACTCTATGGAATTCTGTTCATCCTTGTATAACTTCCCCAATCACTATTGCAAGGCACCTCCTAAATACTTTCTAAGTGTAATAGAGGGGTGAATTTTTTATTAGTATACATGAATTGAACAAAGAAGGGCTCATTGCAACATTTCTGCATATATATAAATGTATCCCAAGTGACCTTATACCTTCTCTGACCCTCACATATGCTCTCTTTCTTAAAATAATTTCAACAGGTTCCATTGTTCTGCTTTTGTACATGTGAAACATACTACATTTTCATACACATGAGCATACTACTTGAACTATATTAATTCCCATTCACCCCTCTTTGTTAACCCCCTTCCCTTGGTCCCCACCCTCCTGACAGAGTCCGTGTGATTTTCCTGTTACTCATTTTTTTAGTGTATTAATTGTGTACCATAAGGTTTTTCTTGGTATTTCAGATGTGCATATATTATGTTTGCTCAGAATGTTTTGCTTTTATAGGGATGGATTTGACCACATTACATTTTTTGCATGTGTGGACATAGCTTAGTAGACCTTTGTGGTATAATTAACATATGCTAATAAAAATAAAAAGTGCGGGGGAAAAAACAGACAAACTCCATTTTCTAACACAAATTATATTTTTGGGTCTGAGAGACCATTTTGCAAGTTCTGAGTTTTGCATTTAATTTTACTTTGCATTTATTCTTTTATGTGTTACTGAGGCTTTGAACTCAGGGCCTCACATTTGCAAGGCAGGCTCATTTAATTCTTTGGTTGTCTCCAGAGATACAATTTTTCACATTGTTGATCATTTTCCACTCTTCCTCTACAGCTGTCATCCAGTGGTCTAACCTTGTAAGTTCTGTTGTTATGAGAGCTTAAGGACCTGAATTGTGCTTTATGCTTAGGAAGTCATCTCACCTCCCCAGGAAAGTGAGTTCTAGAATATAGTTGGTCAAAATAATCCTTATCAATCATTAGCTCAAGTCCCTATGTAATTTATTGGCTGAGCCCCAGAGTTCTGACCCTGTAGTTCTATATGATCAAGTACTGGAGGGGCACTATTCTCATCTATGAGTTTAAGAACAAGGTCTCATAAGATAATTGCCATTTACATGAAAAAATAAACCTATTTCCCGAGTGCCTGTAATGTACTGGGCACTGCGTGAGTTCCAGGGGATGGGTTCAGTTTGGGTTTCAATCAGATATCATGGTCTAGTGTGTTTTCTCTTCCTTGAATTTATAGTCTAGGTAGAGATCACAATCAAACCATTCTGATGAGACTGTGTCAGACATCTGGGTACCTAATAAATCCCTCAATTTGCTGGTTATATGAGGGATGTTTAGCATTGTCCTTTTTGTTTCTCTGTTTCCTCCCTCCCGCCCCCCTCGCTTGCTCCTTCCTTCCTTCCTTCCTTCCTTCCTTCCTTCCTTCCTTCCTTCCTTCCTTCCTTCCTCCCTCCCTCCCTCCCTCCCTTTCTTTCTTTCTTTCTTTCTTTCTTTTCTTTCTTTCTTTCTTTCTTTCTTTCTTTCTTTCTTTCTTTCTTTCTTTCTTTCTTTCTTTCTTTCTTTCTTTCTCTTTCTTTTCTTT